AGATTGAGAAAGAAAAAATGGAGCTGGAAATGAAAATCCAGCAGGAGAAAGAGGCAGAGATGGAGAGGAAGAGGCTCATAGAAAAACAGAAAGAAGAGGAGAGAAGGGAAGAGGAAAGAAAGATGAAGATTGAGAAAGAAAAAATGGAGCTGGAAATGAAATCCAGCAGGAGAAAGAGAGAAGAAGAGAGAAATAAAAGAAAAGAAAGAAGAGGGAAGAGAAAGGAAGAGGAAAGAAAGCTGAAAATTGAGAAAGAAAGACTAGAGAAGCAGGAGGAAAAGGAAAAAAAGAGAGAAATAAAGCACCTAACAGGTGGAAACAAGCACACCTGTTGAATGGAAGAGTCTGGTAGCGGTAGGTAGAAAAAGAAAGAAAAAAAGAAGAAAAAAAAAGAAGAAAGAAAAGAAGAGAGAAGGGAAAGAAAAAGAAAAAAGAATAAAAAGAAAGAGAGAAGAAAAAGAGAAAAAAGAAAAAGAAGAAAAGAAGAACAAAGAAAGAAAAGAAAAAAGAAAGAAAAAAGAAAAAGAAAAAAGAAAAAGAAAAAAAGAGAAAATAAAAAAGAGAAAAGAAAGAGAAAAAAGAGAAAAGAAAGAGAGAAGAAAAGAAGAAAAAGAATGAGAAAAAGAGAAAAAAGAAAGAAAAGAAGAAAGAGAAGAAAGAAAGAAAGAAAGAAAGAAAGAAACAAAGAAAGAAAAGAGGGAAAGAAAGAGAAAGATAAGGATTGAATGAGGAGGAGAAAAAACGAAGGAAAGAAAGGGAAAAGAGGAAGGAAAGAGAGAAAAGGAGAGAAAGAGAAAGAGAGCGAAGAAGGGGAAGAAAAGAAAGAAAGAGAGAAAAGGTGGAGAGAAGAAAAAGAAGAGATAAAAAATTGTAGGAGACGATGAGAAGAGGATGAGATGAAGAAAGAAAGAGAAAGAGAGAAGAGAGATAGGAAAAGGGAAGAAACGAAGGAAAAGAAAAAGGGGAAGGGAATAAAGGAAGATGGAGAAAAGAAGAAGAAAAATAAGCAAAAAGAAAGAAAGAAGAGAGGAGAAGAAAGGAAAGGGACGAGAGGAGAAGAAGAGAGAGAGAGAAAGAAAAAAGAGGAAAGAGGAAGAAAGCAAGAAGAAACTGAAAGGGAAGGAGGGAGGAAAAAGAGAAAGGAGGAGAAGAAAAGGAAAGTAGAAAAAGAAAACGGAGAGAGGAAGAAAGGAAAAGGAGAAGAGAGAAGAAAGGCAGAGAGGAGAAGAAAGGAGATAACGATGAAGAAAAAGAGGGAAGAGAAAGCGGAAGAGAAAGAAAAAAGAGGGTTTGAAAGAAGGGAGAGAAAAAATGAGGATGGAAGATGAATAGGGACCAAAAGGGGAGAAAAAAATATGAATGGAATGTGAGCAAGAAAGAGGGAGGGAGGAAAGAAAGAAAAAAAGGTAAAAGAAATGAGAGAAGATAAAGGGAAAGAGAGAGGAGGAAGAGAAGAAGGAGGGGAGAGAGATGAGGAGAGAAGAAGGAAGGGAAAAAGGAAAAGAGAGGAGGATGAGAAGAATGTGAGAGAGGGAGGAAAGGCAAAGAGAAGAAAGAAGAGAAGAGAAAATGGAAAGAAGAGAGAAAGGAAGGGAAGAGAAGAGAGAAAAAAGAAGTTGGAAAAGATAGACCGGGAGAAAAAGAAAAAAAGAGAGGAGAGAAAGAAGAAGAAAGATGAAGAGAAAAAAGAAAAATAGAAAATGAGAATAAGAAAATGAGAAAAAAGAAGAAAAAAAGAGAAATTAAAAAAGAAAGACATCAAGGAGAAGAAAGAGAGAAAGACAAAGAAGAAAGAAAAGGAAGAGAAAAAGGGAGAGAAAAAAGAAAGAAAGAGAAAAAGAAGAAAGAGAGAGAGAAGGAGAAGAGCAAGAGAGAAGAAAGAGAGAGAGAAGGAGAAGAGCAAGAGAAAAGAAAGAAAGAAAAAGGAGAAGAAAGAGAAAAGAGAACGAGAAAGAAAAAACAAAAGAAAAAAAAAAGGAGAAGAAAGACGAAAAAAAAGAGAAAGAAAGGCAGGAAAATAGGAGAAGGGCATGAAGCAAGAGGCTGAGGCTGAGGAGCAGACAAAGGGCAAAAAAAAAAAAAAAAAAAAAAAGGATGAGGAAAAGAAGGAGGAGGAGGAGGAAAAGAAGAAGAAGGAAGAGGAGGAAAAGAAGAAGAACAAGAACAAGAAGGAGAAGGCGGAGGAGAAGAAGAAGAAGGCGGAGGAGGAAAGAAGAAGAAGGCGGGGGGAGGGAAAGAAGAAGGAAAGAAGACAAGACAGAAGAGAGAAGAACGAAAAGAAAAAGAAGAAGAAAAATAAAGAGGAGGAAATGGAAGAAGGGAAGGAAGAGGAAAGAAAGAGGAGGAGGAGAGTAAAGAGGGAAAAGAAAAAAAGGACGAGAGAGAGAAAGAAGGGAGAGGGGAGGAAAAAGAAAGAAGGGAGAGGGGAAAGAGGAAAAAAGAAGGAAAAGAAGGAAAAAGAGGAAAAAGTTGAGAGGAAAGATGGAGAAAAAGAGGAAAAAAAAATAAGGAAAAGGAAGAGGAAAAGAAGGAAGAAAAGAAGAGAGAAGAAAAGAAGAGAGGAGAGGGAAAAAAAAAGGAGGAAAAAAGGAGAAAAAGAGAAAAAGAGAAGGAAAAGAAGAAGAGAAAATGATGAAAGGAAGGAGAGAAAAAAGACAACAGAGCCAAAGAGAGAAGGGGTATACAGCATAGGGGAGGGGGGAGGAAGGAAGAGAAGAATGGAGAAGGAGGAAGGACAAGAAAAAGAACGAAGGGAGAAAGAAAGAAGAAGGAATAAAAGAAAATAGAGAAGAGAAAAATGAGAAGAGTGGGAGAAAAAAAGAAAAAGAGAAATAGAAAAAGGAAGGAGGAAGGGAAGGAAAAAAGAAGATTGAGGGAGACAGGAGAGGAAAAAGAAGAAAGAAGAAGGAGATGGAAGATGGATGGAGAAAGAGAAGAAAGGAAGTAAGAAAAGGAAGAGAGGAGAAAAAGAGAAGAAGGAGAGAGAGAGAGAGAGAAAGAGAGGAGAGAGAGAGAAAGAGAGAGAGAGAGAGAGAGAAAGAGAGAGAGAGAGAGAGAGAGAGAGAAAGAGAGAGAGAAAGAGAGAGAGAGAAAGAGGGAGAGAGAGAGAGAAAGAGAGATAGAGAGAGAGAGACAGAGAGGGAGAGAGAGGAACAGAGAGTGAGAGAGAGAGGAACAGAGAGGGAGAGAGAAGAGAGAACAGAAACAGAGAGAAGAGAGAGGAACAGAGAGAGGAGAAAGAGAGAGAGAGAGAGAGTAGAAAAAGAAAGAAAAAAAGAAGAAAAAAAAAGAAGAAAGAAAAGAAGAGAGAAGGGAAAGAAAAAGAAAAAAGAATAAAAAGAAAGAGAGAAGAAAAAGAGAAAAAAGAAAAAGAAGAAAAGAAGAACAAAGAAAGAAAAGAAAAAAGAAAGAAAAAAGAAAAAGAAAAAAGAAAAAAAGAAGAAAAAAAGAGAAAAGAAAAAAGAGAAAAGAAAGAGAAAAAAGAGAAAAGAAAGAGAGAAGAAAAGAAGAAAAAGAGAAAGAGAGAAAGAGAAAAAAGAAAAAGAAAAAAGAAGAAAAAAGAAAGAAAAAAGAAGAAAAAAGAGAAAAAAGAAAGAAAAAAGAAAGAGAGAAGAAAAGAAAAAAAGAAGGAAAGAAATGAAGAAAAAAAAAGGGAGAGAAGAGAAAAATGAAAATCCAGCAGGAGAAAGAGGCAGAGATGGAGAGGAAGAGGCTCATAGAAAAACAGAAAGAAGAGGAGAGAAAGGAAGAGGAAAGAAAGCTGAAAATTGAGAAAGAAAGACTAGAGAAGCAGGAGCAGGAGAGAAAAATGCAAGAGGAACTGGAAAGAAGGCAGGCAGACCAACTCAAAGAAAAGCAAAGACTAGAGGACGAGAGAGAAACAAAGCAATCTGGGTTGAACAACATGCAAGAGGAGAGTTTGGTGCGCAGATCAAAGCCTCATCTAAACTATTTTGAATCTGAAGATTGGCCTCAGGAGTCAAAATCACCACATTCCCCCTCACCAAACACCTCTGGGCCCACAGAGAATCTGATGGATGTGGTTTATGATGACTTCTCGGTCAAACAGAATCCGATCAACATAGAATTTGATGATTTTTCAGTCAAACCGATAAAAGTGCTCTCACGGCGTAAAACAGAAAGCAATCCAGTTTTCCGTAGTTGGGATGACTTTCTGGATATAGAGGAAGTGAAGGGACTGGTGCCTGTGGATGTCAAAACTGAGAGAGCCAAGGAAGACAAAATGGAAAAACCAGAGCAGTGTCCGAATACACCTCCTTTGCAGGAGAGAGAATGGGTGGAGGAGATAAAAGATGAGCCAGAAGAGGAGCAGCTCATCTCTCTAGACGTGAAGAAAGAGGAGCAGCTCATCTCTCTAGACGTGAAGAAAGAGGAGCAGCTCATCTCTCTAGACGTGAAGAAAGAGGAGCAGCTCATCTCTCTAGATGTGGAGGAGGAGGAGAAGCACATCTCTGTAGATGTGAAGAAAGAGGAGCAGCTCATCTCTCTAGACATGAAGAAAGAGGAGAAGCACATCTCTGTAGATGTGAAGAAAGAGGAGCAGCTCATCTCTCTAGATGTGGAGGAGGAGGAAGAGGAGAAGGAGACAGAAACCGAGGATGAGGACGAGATGGAAGAAGACAACCAAGAGGTGAGCCCTATTTGGTTAGGTTCTAGCTATATTTGTATTTCTGTCACGCTTGATTAGATTTTTGTTTTGTGGACATCACTATGGTTATATGAAAGCTCCAACTGTTCACTTATGCAGAAAGGGTGAGGTTAGGAACAGAAGCAGGGGTGTGCACCACTAGTAAATGTGGTTATTTTGTCAATGAATCACATCAGCCAGGCAGCCATACACACCTCACCCGCACCAGCATTTTGCCATTCCTGTAAGACAAGGAGAGAAATATCTTGTCGTACTTGCTTCAGTGTGGTTAAGTCACAGCTTAAGAACTCATGACTGTGTTAGTGTGTGTGCGTGTACTTGTATTACTCATGTTAACACAGCTGGGGAGACTCGTTCATTTTAACTATCCTTATATAACTGCCTTATAAAGTAAGGCTGGGTCCAGGAAATGATACTGTTAATTCTCAGGGAAATTACTGTACTGTTTTCTGAAGGAAACATAAAGATATCTCAGTAGTACTCCCCCCCCCCCCTGAAGTGATTACTTGTTTTATTACAGCGAGAAACATCAAAGAAGGCTAGGGCGAGGTAAACTGCTAATGTGCACGTTTCAATGTTTCTGCTCTTAAAATTACTGCCATTCATTGTGGTAAGTGCGAGATCAGAATAGAAGTGCGATGACAGTGCGAAGTTTTGACGGCAGAAAGATGGGTTACACTTCCTGTGTGTGTTTCCAGAAGCTGTCTATCTTCTGTGTCTTCTGCTTTCAGTTTGCAAAAAACATTTTTAAGTAGAAGCATCGCAAACATTTTAAAGACGCATGTTACGAGGAAGAAGGTTTGGTATGAATGTGTGGAGAGTGTAAGGCAGGTGTGTGTTACTTAAGAGTGTGCTGTGTGATGATGTGGGCCATAGGGCTATAACCCGTCAGGTAATGGGTCATGTGTTTCTATTTCACACGTCTTGTCATATTACCACATTGCAAGCAAATTCGGTTGGTAGTGAAGATGTTAGTTTACACGATTATGTAATATGAAGTGCTGCTTAAAGGTGTAGTTCAGCGTTTTGCAAACAAAAGCATTTATATTCTCTTTTACTGAGAGTTTTGCGAGGCAATTAACATTGAAGTTGTGTATGTAGCAAAAATAATGGCATCAGTTGCATAGTTTAACACAAAAGCTGGAAAGAAAGTTTTGTGTCTGCCTCCACTTTCCTGTCCACTCTGCACTACTGTGCTATCCATTAAAGAGAAGAGGCAAAGAAATGACATAGAGTCATATCTTCTTCAGTCATAATGCTGAGTCATTATCAATAGATTTGGTATTGCACTTATCTAACCCTCAGTGTAAAAGTGATTAAAAGTGATTGAAGGGTATTTAAGGGTATTTGAAGGGTATTTAATCATTTAATCACTTGATTAAATACCCTCCTCTGAATGTTGAGTTGACATTCAGAGACAATGAAGTCGCAGAACAGCTGCAGTGCAAGACTGACGTCTGCAAATAAACATGATCACTTTACAGTTTGCAGTTTGAAGTTTTAGTTCGCCAAGTTTAGTTGTTCCAAAAATTCTTCGATGCGTTTGATTTCACATGTCTGTGTCCTGTTTCACAACACGTGGGAGTTTGTCTTGCTGAAATAAGGTATATGATGCACTAATGCGTCACAGGTGCACAGACTGTCTCCTGATAAAATATCACATTTCGATTGGTCAGACCACAAACTGTTCCACTGCTCGTTAGTTCATAATAAGCGAGCTTGTGAACGCAGCTGCAATCTATGTTCGCTGACTGTTGGGTCATTCCATCTCAAATTTGCTCAGTCATCTCTGATTTACATAAAATATTTATGGTCCAAAGTTTGAACATGTGTAATGAGTGCTGTGAAAGTTTAGTTTCATATATCAACTACTTTTCAGGATGTATCTTTTGGAAAAAATGGTTAGTCGACCCACTTTCAGGCACGTTTTTTGAAATCTGAGGCAGTGTTTGAACATGAATATTTGAAAAACTATTAAAGATGAAAGATTTTCTCAGTATCAAAATGAATCAGGATCTGTAATTTGGAATGGATACATTTGAAAAAAAGATAATTGGGTACTTAAAATATAAAGAGGCAATCTGTATGCTAACTGTGTGAATGAAGGCCGCAAGAATTGTAATTAATATGTATGAATATGCTACATTGTTGCGTTTTAATACCTGGAATAACCTGAATGATTAGCCTGCTTCAGAGCAGCAGGTCTTGAAATGGGTAGATAAGGTCTCAGAGGTGAAAAATATGCACATATACATTAAAATCATTTTTTTGTATAATTTTGTTTTTGTTGTACAAATTATAATATTTGCTCAAGTCAGGATGAAAGTTGAGTGAAAGTAGCACTTTCTTTGTTTTTTTCATGTTAAAAAGAGTTTTATATGTTTTATTTTACAGTATTATGATAAGTAACTATAAACCATTCAGACATTAGGACTACTTGTCTTTTGCAATGTGAGCTTTATTAGTGTGTGTGCTCAAATATAGGGCTTTACATATTTTCCATATTTTAACTACCTAATACTCACATTTTTGATGTATCTGGCCCAAATTACACATTGTAATTCATTTTCATGGTAAGATACATTTTCAGGCTTTTATCTTTTTAGATATTAGAATTTAAACATTGCTGCAAATTTCACTGGGCAAAAAAAAATACATATTGAAAATATATTTCAATACGTATTTATAGCAATTATTACATATTCAAACTTTGTACCATGAAATTTTTATGCAAATCGGAGACTTTGGTTTGACATTGTTGTTTTCAGAGCTGCTCCTGAATCCATGTTGTGTTTTTCTCTAATGACTCATGAGAGAAACTTATTGTTATGCAATTTTATGTTGTGAAATATTATTCTCACATAGCTGAACTGTTGCCTTAATAGTAGTGAACGGCTGCTATGCTTTGCACCTCACAGTTTTGTCTTAGATGGTCTTTTTTTAATCATTTATATTATTGCATACATTTTACCTGCATCAACCTTTTATGTTTTGTCTTTGTGTTACTTTTTGTTTGAATCTAAGTTTTTCTTTTCCTACTAACTTCTTAGACAGTGTCCAAACTTCTTCTTTTATAATTGAGATTGGAGGTGACAGGTCAAGTAGATAGCAAAGTGAACAGATGTTCAATTTTGACACAGCATTTAAAAAAAATAAAGGCAGCAAACCCAACAAATTCCAGGTGAACAGTGCAGAGCTGCACTTAATGAGAGCAGGGCTGCCAGAGATATGACATTTAAGACAGATGGGCTCACCGCCTGTTTGAACATGCAACATTTTTGCAGACTTAATGAAAACAGTGAACCAACCCTGGACTGTGAGTGTGTGTTTGCCCTGTCAGTGCTGTAGCAAGCAAACCTTACCATACATAACCTATGACATACAGGGCAATGTATGCAACCACTTGAGTGCTGTAAAGGGGCTTTGCTTGTCTGTCTGTGTGAGTACATTCTTATTTGCACCACTGAGTGGCGCTGCTGCTCTTTGACTTTGCACTTCCTCACTGTGTGCTGCAGAAATGGTGAACTTTATCTCATATAAGGCACCTGAAAATCAGCTAAAAGTAAAAGACCTCTGTAACACTAAACTATATCTTTTCATAAGTGTAATCGTTTGTTTTCTTCTTTTCTTTCCCTTTTGATGCAATAATGCCAACCTGAAAACTGACAAAAAGCTTTTAATTTTTAGACAAAGCAGACTGGAGAAAATGTTTACTAGGCAAACACAAGGTGTGCAGCTGATCGTGCACCCTCAGTCAGGCTTCTGATTGAAAGAAAGATGAGCAGATGATGGCAGGATGTGATGGTAAGAAGAGCCTAGGTGCTGTGTGGTCAGCATGCCCTCTTTTGGGTCTCTCCAGCAGAGCAGGATGTAAGAATGACCATACATGGTGCCCCATGTCTGCTCTCATTTTCTGTCTCTGTCTCTCAATCTCTCCACCCTGTTTTGAGAGAGAGCCTGTCATCCCCCCTCCCTCACACACAAACACACTCTCTGGCACACAAAGAGGACGGTCTAATCCAGAGACAAGAAAGTTCACGTCTACTGTCTTTGTGTTTTCTGCTGCTTCATTTGCCTTTTCCTCTCACAAAAACCTGGCTCATTCATTGCCTGCATTTACCTACGGATGAGACCGGCAGAGGGAGGTACAGAAAGCACCTTGGCCCAGCCAGGCCGCACCTTTCCTACTTCCCTCGGGATTTTCCACATCCGAGCACAGACCTCCGCTTTGTGTTGACGTTCTGTGAAATCACTCAGGTCTGACGGTGATAAAGGGGTGATCTGTCTCTCTGTACTTGCCTTTGGATGTTTGGAGTGTCAGATGCTTCCCATGTGATTTTTTTTTTCTTCCTGTTTTTGTGAACTCGGAAGTACGTGGGTAGGTTTAGTCAAAGAGGTTTTAGTCAAAGAGATAAAAGGATGTAAATTGCCAACTTTAGACTGAAACCTTCGAAGCTCTTTTTGCTTCCCAAGTGACGACAGAGAGAAGTTTTTGAAGCAGGCTTCAGTCGGTTTGTCTTTTAAATGGATGCTTAATCAATGATGGGAAGCTCTTTCTTTAGGATGCCGCTGTCTCACATCAATCATAGTTAATGTGACAGTGGAATAGTGTCGTCACACTGCAAACACATGGCTGGCTGGACTATTTACTTCTTCACTGACGGCAAATTGTAGACTATTCCAGGAAGTTCGGGTAAGCTGAGTCGTAAAAATATGCAGAGAGAGGAAGCATCCATTTCAAATGACAGATGGACTACGTTTTGTCTTCTGTGATGTCAGAAAAGTTCTTTCTACAAAATATAACTTTTCCTGTGCATACCTTCTGAAATATCAACAGACAGCTGGATCGCAGAGCCAGCTTTCTGACTCACCCGCAAAATCCTTTCATCTCTAATAAAGTTGAACCTCAGTTTCTCTGTTGAACCGGTTCCCATGGTGACCCTGCTGTCAGTGCAGCCAGCTGTGTGAGCTTTTCAAGCATGCAGTACTTTGAAGGAAAACTGTCGGCCGCCCAGCTGCAGGTGGTGGGCTGGGTGGGCAGCCTACGTCGGTCCTTGCAAGGGGCTCTGGAGCTCGTGTGGGGCCAGGAGAAGCAGGAGGAGGAAGAGGATGATAAAGAAGATGAAGAAGAGGAAAGTGGAGATGAAGGAGGAAGGTTTCAGAGGGCCATGTCACCGCTCCGTAGCTTTGCCAGTCGCAGCAGGAGATCCCTGCATCGCTTCTCCATCAGAAGTCGCAAGACTTTGCAGAGGAAAGCCACTAAAACCTGTTCTGTAAGAGCTGACATACACAAACCAGTAAAAATATACATTTACAGTAACTATATTTAAAGGCTTTGCTGTCTAATTTCCATTATCATTGTGTGCAATGATCAAAGCAGAAGTTTTTAGGGCAAGTTTTGTTAGAAAATGCTTCAAAACTCCCTGTAACTTATTAGCCTGTTCAAAATTTCCATGGACATGGGTTAAAAGATAACCATGCAAATGTAAATAGGGAGTGCAGCACACAGTGGCAGTGTGTTTCAGGAAGGACAGAGATATCTGATGAAGTTTCCTGCTTGTATTTTCTTTTTTTTTATCAGTGCGCAGTCACGGCCTTTCTCTCTCTGTCTGTGGTGTATGTGGGAGATAACGCGCCGGACAATAACAAAGTGTGACACACTTAGACAAGGTTTATCTAACTGTTGTTATTTATGGGTGTCAGCTCCATATCTGCATCTGCCTTTTGTTTGAGCTGGCCGCCTTTGGCTCACAGCCTAACCGTTCTTAGTTAATGCCTTTTTTTCTTCCTATTTCTATCATTGTATGTCATTACATCTCATTACATTATATTATAATAGATTATATTTGATTTTGCAGGCGATCCTTGCACATTTTTTGGAACCAAAAAACATTTTGTTTACACTATATTTAAGTATATAACATGTACATTTGTCTGTAACTTTATCATACATGTGGGTGCACAGGAGAAACAAAGATTATCTCTCCGGCTTAATTCCCTTAATCTGGTGATCTGTCGTTTTGATTCTTGTGGTGACACTCCTTCACAGTCGTTGTGAATCAGATTGTTCCTCATTAAGTTGTGCTTTTATTCTCTCCACTTAGCTGCAAACAAGGTTCCTTATACATTCCAGTGACCATGACAAAAATGTTATGCAGGTAAACTATAATCAAGCAGACTCTGTCCTAACTTGTGTAGCACATCCTGCGCCCTCAGCAGCACATTTTATACTGGCAAACACAGAGGTAGTGCTTTTATCCTTTATAGTAGGTGTGTGTGCTACTTAGAAGTTCTTGTCCTAAATCTTCAAATGTTGCTAGATGAATTAAGCTGCACCCTCATGTTTTTTATATATTAGCAGTGGATCCAGTGAAAGATTTAGCTCATAAAAAAATCCTCTTAATGTTAGGAAAGGGAGGATCGATGTTACTGCATCGCTTTTGCATCTAACAATGCAAATTTATGTTAGGCCGGATATTTATTGTAGCAACACACCTTTACAAAGTTAGTAAATGCTGAGAAAAACACTAGCTTGCCTGACCAATCAACAACAGGACTTGGTGGAAATTAAATTTCATCCCTGGTTCTTACAGTGCAAAAGTGCCCTTGTGCCCTAGATTCTACAGGCCCAGGGTTCCTTATTCGCCAGATTTCTATAGCATATAACAAGAATCCGAAAAATGAATTCTGGATTTATTTAACCCTCAGAGATGTAAATCACTATAAGTGCTAAATCTTAATCTAACCCTGCGTTTTGTAGAAGGATAAAAGAGATTTCTTGGGTTTAAAAAAAAAAAGAATATTCCTTTAATTGATGATTGTCTAAGTTAGACTTAAGGTTAGGGTTGGAGTGATTGCTGTTGATAAAGTGCACCTCAGAGGGTTGATATGACATAGGTAAGGAATAAGACTGACCCAAGCATACCCAAGTTAAGTTACAGTGCCATGAAAGAATTTGCGACTTTTCTGACTCCTTCATTTTTTACACATTTGTGTAAAATGCTTAATTGTTTCATATTATCAAACAAATTAATTATTGGACAAAGATGAACTGAGTAAATGCAAAAGACCGTTTCCCAGGAGTGGGAAGCTTACCAAAATCACTCCAACACACATCCAGGAGGTCACAAAAAAACCCCAGAACAACATCTACTTCACTTGCTGTAAATGATGGAGTCATGAACTCTGCTGTCTACCAGAAAATCCCAGAGGAGAATGTTCGGGTGTTAGTTTGTACCCTGGAGCTTAAACAGAGTTGAGTTATACACCAGGACGATGATCCGAATCACACCAGGACTTCTGAATGGCTAAAAAAACAAAAACAGAGTGAAGTATTTGGAGTGATGTAGTCAAAATTCAAACTTAAATGCGATTGAGATGCTTTGGCCTTAAAAACAACCTCAAAGAGGCTGTTCAAGCTTGAAAACCCTCCGTTGTGGCTGAATTAAAATAATTCTGCAGAGAAGAGTGGGGTAAAATTCCTCCACAGTGATGTGAAAGATTTATTGCCACTTATCATAAATGCTTGATTGCAGTTCTTTCTGCCAAGGGTGGCACAATCTGTTATTATGTTTGAGGGGAATGACTTTATCATTGCACGGTATACAGAATATTGAACTGGGGAGCATAAAACAAAGAACAAAGGACCCTGAACGTAGGACATGGCAAATACTGGACTATAAATTTATGGCGTGGGGAACATCCCACGGAAATTTCCCTTGGGAGTTGGTGGAGACCAAAGCAGAGATAAAAGGAGAGTACGGGAGTACTGGATACTTTTCCAGTTCACAAACGTATCTCTCATTTCTCTGCAATAGTTGCAATATCTTTGCTCAACTTCTAAACATGTTTCTAATATCTAATTTATTGAGCAAGTAGGAAGACGAGGCCGTTCGTTTTGAATTTTTAAAACTGAGGAAACTGGCTCCATAGTGTGGCGGTTTACGCATTTGGTTGCGGTCAGATCAAATGTGCAGAGCTACCCGCTGTGGTGCCCACTTGTGACGAGAGGTCATCCTAAAGTAACTTTTCTTTTTTGTCTCCAAATCACACGATACAATGCCTCACTGTTTCTTTTATGTCTTGCACAAATGTTTTTCTAACCTTTGCATACTTAAGATTCACCCAAACAGGAATAACTGCATATTTGAAAAATTCTTTTGTTTTCTTATTGAACTCAGCTGGGAAGCATTAGTCAACATTAGAACTTTGTGAGTGACAGCTGCAGCTCTGTGATAAAGGTGGCACAGACACGGGATAAATCGCATCGCAGAGGAAAGGCTTGTGTAAAAAAGCACTTTGTTTTTTCTCTGTATCTGAACATGGAGTGTAGTTATAGGAAAATCACTAGAAGCCTATTCATTTGTGCTGTGATGCTGCCAGATAACAGGCATTGTGCAAATGAAGCTGCCCTGAGCGTCCTGAGTAATAAATGGCCTCACAAAAGAGATGAGATGTTTACTCAACTGTTGTGTTGTATCCAGGTGACAGTGTCTGGCCATTCAGCACTGGGATGCGCCCCTCAACAAAATATGAAGCGAGCATACAGGAATGTTTTACGAGGAAGTGGTTGCTTTTGTTTGGAACATGTTTGCGTGCGTCCGTGTATGCTTGTGTGTGCGTGTGTAGTATAGCATGTGGGCGTGACATCATGAGTGTGCTTAGTTTGTCTCTGTTGAGGCATAAAGGTGTGTACGCCAGTGCGTGTGTGTCTGTGTGCGCATGTTCATGCCCCCGGTGTTCATTGAGGACAGCCCAGCCTCTGTGACCGGCTCATTAAAAGACGCATGCTTGGCTGGTCCTTTCTCTCTGTGTAGCTGGTGAGTTTTGGCTCAGCACACAGTTTAGTTTCTCCTTGTTTTAACTCTACAATTTAAAGTTCTTGTTCATAAATTTATATGACGTAGAGGATCATTTGGGTCGTTGAAAAAAAGCATTTTCAATCCATGAACAGAGCAATAGCTTAGAATTTAAGTTAAGGTATTCAGCCAAATATGTCATTTAGCAGGGAAGCATGATGGTGATCTGCCAGTTAGTACTGTTGACTCATAGAAGAAGGTCCTGGGTTCGAATCCACCATCTGGCCTTTCTGTGTGGAAGCTGCATGCGTTTCCCGTGTTTGTGCGGGTTTACAGTCCAAAGACATGCAGTTGGTGGGGTAGGTTAATTGGTGATTCTAAATTACCCATGTTTCTCTGTCTTACTATAGGTTCTTTACTTTATATACTTGTTGTTTTGATTTTGGGTTATATGAATAAAATAGAATTGACGATTTCTCTGGTTTCTGCATGTGTTTTCCTTTTGAATTTGCCTGAAATTTTGTGTCCATCTCGCAGGATCAGACCAACAGTTTCTCCACAAAAAATGAAGACAAGGACACCGATGCTTTGATAGACTTTGGCCTTAATCATGACCAGCAGGATCCAGTCTGGGAACAAACACCTGAAAGAAACAGGTAGGAAATCATTTGCATTATTTAAAAAAATAAGTAGTTTGAGTTTTCGTTGTACTTGTATGACAATGTTAATCCTCAAGCCTTTAAAACGTTTCTATTTTTTTATTTGTTTGGCCAAATGTCATAATTTAGACTTCGGGAAAGTGTTTAGGAACAGAAATCTTGTGACAGCTTAACCGAATGCAGATGCACATTAAAATGTGCTGTCAGGCATTTGAAAGTTGAGCTTCCTGTGCCCCCTTGTGGTCAACAAAGTTAGGCACATATGCTTAATGGAGTGGTGAAATTAAAAACAAAAAACAAATTGAAATGAGCCAAAAGCATTTTGGCAATGCCCTATGAACATTCTTCTTCAGCGTTGTTTACACTTTTGTTCTCTTCAGTCCACAGCCAGTCCCTGACGAAGTACCTGAAGTCTCATCTGAAGACACCGCCGATGATCTGAAAGAGCCAGAGTTTGCCCCTTTTCCCGAGGTTAGTGAGTTTTTAAATCTTCCCCTGTGCCATCAACCAAAAAAGGTGACATGGAATTCAGTTGTTACTTTTCAAACTTACTTTAGAAAATATCTGTTTGTGCTTGTGCCTTTCTGTAGTGTGAAGCATGGATAGATGGCAAGATAGATAGAAGCACAAAACAAAGATATCAATGACGTTTGTAACAGATAAACACTAACTCGTCATTGTGGAAATAATTTTATCAACTCCTGAAGAGAGTTATCAAGACAAAAACAAAACCAACTAAACTTTATACACGCTGCCTACATTCACATAGCTATAGATATGTACACGTAACATTGATAATGGAAAACAGTGGCATCCAGAAGACAAGAGTCAGAACTCAGCAAAACAGAAAACTTATTTACGGAGCCAATTCATCCTCATATTCACGTGATTTTTTTAATACAGTTGTGTGAACTTGTGCAGTGAGTCATTGGCTCTGTGCAGTCTTTCCACAGTGTTTTCTCTTCTCTCTCTCTCTTCTCCCAGCTTATTAAACATATAATTTTCTCTCTGTGCGTGACGTTTTTGTCTGGCTTGAAACAAATTCTGGGCGAAACTCGTGTCGTCTTGCTTTGTACATAATTTTGACTCAACCAGGTCACTAAATTGTTTTTGTTTTTTTTATTTGAGTGACGAAGAGGGACAGCTGATTGAAGCCAGTGTTATTAATTATTCTTATTGCTCTTTTATGTAATATTTATATTGGCTGTATATTTCTTTTGGATGTGTTTCCCCATACTTCTACACATTATGTCATAAAGGGAAGTTTATGACATAAAGCACAGAGTGTGCAAGCACAGAGTGTGGTTTATGAAATCTTTGACTTTATACAGTGTCATAACTGATTTAAAATCTTTTTTTCTAATGTATTCAATATGTGACTTCCAGAATATTATATAATTTATTATTTATTGTTACCTTAAGGAATTTAATTTCAGTTACTTTTTATATTTCTAATTATTTTCTAGTAATAAATAATGCACACTTGTGGCCAGTGCGTTTGCTTTTTATTGTTAGATTTTGTCTATGTGTCTCTGTACAGAGCTCCACTCCTCTCCTTGACACCAGTGCACAAAGATCCAAGGCGGATCTGGGAAAGAGGCGTATTCGAACACGTCCGTCACGCAGGCTGACCGCAGGGTTAGCTCAGACGGAAACACAGGATTGGGGGACCCAGGACTCCACAGGTTATTAGAGTATCTGTAATGTTCTATGTGAAAGCGTCAGTAGTATAAAGACGGCTGACGATATCGAATTGTTTTGACTCGTGTCTGTGTTTTTCAGTTGAAAAAGAGACAGTTGCAAAAGAAAGGGAGTCAGATTCTGAGGAAGAACAGCCTAAACCCAAGGTAGTCTGTTCCCCGTCCCAGCGAGTGCCAGTGTTTCCTGGTATGAGTCCTGCAGGCTTGCTTGTAAGTTCTCAAAGCATTCAAGAACAACTTAAATTTATTTTAAATGTGGTTTTTTTATTATTAATATATGTAATATGATGCAAATGGGTCTTTCTTTTATTAAATTAAGTACTTATTTGTATTTATTTGCTTTTTTTAAGGCTCAACTTAAAAGGAAAACAGGTGGTGGAGGAACTGCAGTGAAAGAGGAAACCGTAGAAAGCAAAGCTAGCGAAGAGAAGGAACATCAAGATGAAGAAGTGGCACCATCTTCCGTGGAGCTCTCACATTCTCCTCGCACGCCTGCCCGTCTGGCTGGAGCTACACGGGTGCTGCCACTCATAGGCAACAAAGAAGAAGGGTAAGCAGAAAGAAGCGCTGCTCACCAAAACAAATATATATGTTGCGTAAATGATCCAGATATCTTTGGGGAAGATGACTGAAATATCGAAATATTGTCTGTGACATTCAGTGGTGCCTCCTCGCCTGCTTGGCTGAAAGAGCTGAAATCTAAGAAGCGTATGAGTCAGCACGGCAGTGACGCTTAGCCAGACTGAGGTGAGTGATTTAATATAATTAAAAAAGCTTGCCATGATTTTTGTATTTTACTTATATGCTAAAATATGATTCTGAGTATTATTTAAAAATGTAAAAACGTATTACTGTAGCTTTTAATATATAGATTTTTTAGGTTACAGTACAGAAGTTCCTACATTGCTGTATGACTGTGGGGGAAATAATTATTTGATCACATGCAGAATTTGTAAGTTTGATCACTTGCAAAGACAAACACTTTTATGTTGGTTTAATTTTAGTGGAGAGAGACAGAGTATTAACCAATCAACCAATAATACAGAAAAAAAACCCTGCATTGCATAATAGTAACATGACATGCTGAAATTTGGTAAAAGTAGTTGATCCCCCAAGCAAAACATGACTGAAGCCATTGCTAGCAAGCACACTGGTTAGATGTGTCTTGTAGTTGGTCACCAGGTTTGCACACATCTGAGGAGGGATTTCGGCCTACTCCCCTTTACAGAAACTTTAAAGAAAGACATGGCAAAGACATGCTTAGTTGGCTGTCTTGGCTGTTGCTTGGCAACTGGAAGCTTCAGCTTCCTCTACAGATTTACTGTCGCACTGGCGTCTGGAGATTGGCTAAACCACAAAATGACCTTAATGTGCTTCTTTTTTAGTCACTCCTTTGTTGCCTCGGCGGTATGTTTTGGGTCATTGTGATGCTTGAAGACCCATCCAAAACTCATCTTCAGTTTTCTGGCTGAAGAAAGGAAGTTTTCATCCAAGATTTTTCAGTACATGGCCCCGTCCATTGGGCCTTCAGTGCAGTGAAATTGTCCTGTACTCTTAGCAGAAAAACAACCCCAAAGCATAATGTTTCCATCTCCATGCTTGACTGTGGGGATGGTGTTCTTTGGGTCAGTATTTCTCATGACAGGTTGGCGCCAAATGGCTCAATTTTAATTTCACATGACCACAGCACTTTCTCCCAAGCCTCTCTGAATCATTTAGATGTTCACTGGCAAACCTACGACAGGCCTGAACATGTGCCTTCTTGACCAGGTGGACCCCCACAGCCGCTACAGGATTGCAGTCCATTACGAGTATCTTACCACTGTGCTTGCTAAAGGGTTTCTCTACTAAGTAGAAGTCCTGTTTTTCTTGGTGATCAAATACTTATTTCATTCAGTGACATACATATGGGACTGCATGTTTGCGTGGGTTCTCTCCGGTTACTCCAACTTCCTCCCGCAGCCCTAAGACATGCAGTTAGTGAAGTTAGGTCTTTTTCTGTGTTATCCCTGTGTCAGATTAGCAAACTGTCCATTGTGTACCTTGTCTCCTGCACTATTGTAGTTGGGGATCCAACTACACCCCTCCCAGTCCTTATAAGGATAAGCAGAAGAGAATGGATGGACAGACACAAAGAAGTGTATAACTTTTATGTAATATGCGTTTTTCTAGATTTTTGGTTGATATTCTGTCTCTCTCCATTAAAATGAAACTATCACAAAAAGTAGAGACTGTTGATTTCTTTGTGAGTAAAGTTAGTAATTAAGCAGGGGCTCAAATAATTATTTCCTTCAGTGTAGTTGTCAGTAGGGGGTAAAAGGGTTTTTTAATTACTTTTTCTTATCCAAAAAGTGATCTAATAGTCTTTTGTGCAAAAGGTTTCTTTGAATGACTTGTAGATTCATCAGCTGTTTTTCTGCTACTTCTAACCCTTTTATGACTGGTGCATTGCATATAATTATAGGGCTTAACAGGATTGGCTGTAGATAGGCATGAACATTTTGACATTTTTAACATTTGGCTTACACCGTGCATTTTTTTCTAAGGCAGGCTATGACAAAACCGACAGCGAAGACAAAAAAACCCCCAACAGGAAACAGGCTATTATCTTTGCTTTTTTTTTTTTCTTCTATCACAATGAGAACCAGACACTGGGGGAAAACATTTTGTACCTAAATGTACTTTATTCTGCTTGATGTGCTTTTAACCTGCCTGTAAAATTAACCCTAACTCTCACAGGTTTTGACTAGCTTAGGGAGAATTATGGAAGTATAAAGGGCTTATGAACACACCAAACACACATTGTGTTACTGATGTTACCACATTATGAGTTTTATATATTCAATGCTTCCATTTGACCTTACTGCATCTTGTCCACCCTTTAGGAAATACCGTGCCATTGCCATTGAGCTCAGCTGCTGCTGCTGCCGGCAGACATGACCGCTCCATCGTGTGCCCAGAGTGCCTTATTTTGTACCTTCACTGGGATGTTCACTTTTGCTGAACGCGCCTTTGAAATTGAATATAATGCCAAGTCTACGTGCCTGTGATGTTTTAATGCCAAGTACATGTTATATGAAATGTTGTTTAAGAAACTCAGTGGAGAGCAAATACCCCAGTGTCATTTGGAGCAAAGTCATGGACTGTCTGCCTGGATTGTGTAAATTTGTAAGACTGTCATGTACTGACAGGGACTGATGACACTAGGCCTTTAGCAGGATATCTACATTCACACACACGCAGGCCTTTTTATAGTTGTGAGGACACTCGTTGATCACATTGCCTACCCGCTCTCCCAACCCAACTCTTGTCATGTTCTAAATCCAATTTTAACCGCATCATTATCATCAAGTGTGAACCCTCGAAGAGACCTTTGAGGCTCTGGATCCTCACAATGCAGAAGTTCCCTCACTGTGATGTAGAATTATTTTTTTTTAATCCTCATAAACACAGAAATACACGGATGAGGAAACACATGTGTACAGAATTACAAAATATAAATAATGCACCTTGTGTGTATTTAGTTTTAATTGTACAAAAATGCCTTTTATATTGTTTAACCGATCACAAAGCATCTCAAGTAAGGCTTGAAGCACTTTAAGAAAAGTTCTAGCAAATTACCGTCCAAACAGCAGTAGAGTAAAAACTGTAGTGACAGAATCCCGGGATTTTTTTGTGCCTTCTTCATTTTGTTACATCATTAGTGTCTATCTACTTTTTAAAACAAGATCTCACAAGGCTTAATTAAGTACTGCCTGATTTGTTTAACCCACCCACTAGCTGGTTAGAGCGTCAACAGTGGGCTGAGAGGATATTTCTGGGGTGCAATAACAGAGTCAGAAAAAAAATGTTTAAAGGAGAAAAATGCAATAATGTGCTGGAGGTTTTATGTGCCTTTTTAATGTTTAAGAATGAATGTCATCAAAATGGAATTCATTATTGATCAACTTACTGTATGTTAGTGGGAAATTGGGGGAATTTTATTAAAATGTTTTCTATGAAATGAAGTTGAGTGTATTATTTATTTGTTGGTTGATTGATTTATTTTGGACATTGAACTTCCTATTGCATGTATTCAGTGGCAGTAAAGCATAGATACATTAACTGGGCAATATATTAGGTACACCTTACTCATACTGGGTTGGACACCCTTTTCACCTTCAGAGCTACCTTAATCCTTTGTGGCATAGATTCAACCCAGGAGCTGGAAACATTCCTCAGAGATTTTGTCCATATTGTCATGATGGCATCAAACAGTTGCTAGATATTCAGCTGCTGCGCATCCATGATGTGAATCTCCCTTTCCACCACATCCCAAAGGAGCTCTATTGGAATGAGATGTGGTGATTGTGGAGGCCATTTGAGCACAATGAAATCACTGTCAGGTTCAAGAAATCACTTTGAGATAATCTGAGCTTTCTGTCACCTGTGTTATCCTGCTGGAAGCAGCCATCAGAAGATGGGTGTACTGTGATCATTAAGGGATAGACAGGGTCAACAACAATACTGCGATGTTTAAATAATTCTCTGTTGGTAGCAAAGGGTGCAGGAAAATATCCCTCCACATCATCACACCAGCAGCAGCCCAAACTATTGATATAAGCCCGGATGGATTCATGGTCTTATTTTGTTTATGCCAAATTCTCACTCTATGCTCTGAATGTTACTGCAGAAATCAAGACTGGGAAATGTTTTTCCAATTTTCCATTGTGCAATTCCAGTGAGCTTGTTTGAACTGTAGCCTCAGTTTCTTGTTCTTCGGTGATAGGAGTGGCACCCAGTGTGGTCCCGTCTGCTTCAAGGTTCAATGTGTCATTTGTTCAGAGATGGTCTTTTGTATACCTTGGTTGTAAAAAAATGGCTATTTAAGTTACTTTTTTCATCCTATCAGCTCAAAGCAGTTTGGTCATTGTCCTCTAACTTTTGGCATCATCAACCAGGAATTTTCACCCAGAGAACTGCAGCTCACTGGATATTTTCTTTTTTTTTGAACCATTCTCTGTAAACTCTAGAGATGGTTGTGTGTTAAATCCCAGTAGATCAGCACTTTCTGACATATTCAGACCAGCCCATCTGGTATTATGCCAGATTCAAAGTCAATTAAGTCATCCTTTATGCTCCATTCTGATTCTCAATTTGAACTTCAGGAGGCCGTCTTGACCACATGCCTAAATGCACTTTTAATGCAGTTTCAGTGTCAATGTGATTGATTGCTTAGATAACAAGCAGTTGAATAGGTGTGCCTAAAAAGTGTTGAGTGACTTCTTCAATTGTGTTTTACAAATCCTTTTGCTCTTGTCGTTTTTTTGGAGTTATTCATAAAAATGTGCCTATTCTTTTGAAATTGCACATAAAGGGAAAATTTGGATGCAATTTCTGTTGGGAACTGGATGAAGAGAAAGGTAAAGAAAGGGGTAGAAGAGTGGAGAGTGGAGAGCAAGATAGCTGGGTGGGGCCAATAGTGCTGAGTGAGACTGATCTCTGTTCATTCTCTTGGCTGGCAGTCAGAGCTTGTACCCACTATAGGATCATGGTCAGGATGGCAGCACAGGCAGAGAGCTGGGCAGCGCTTGCCAGTGTGCCAGGGACAGAGGGCAATCCTATTGAGAAGCAGTGTGATGGACACAATGGGTGCGACAGACTTGCTGCATCAACAGGCTTTTTGCTGCTGTGGCTAGAAATAAACCATAAATACCCCCACTGGCATCCACCAACCGCTCACCAGGCCTCCACACAGATCCTCACTCAGTCACAGACAGAAAGGGCAAAGAAAAGAAAGAGGGAAGACGGAAAACGTGGCTTGTACGGGGTGCATTGAAGCACAAGCCATCAAGGTAAAGAAAAAAAAAGAAAAAGGGAAAAAGAACCAAGATAATTATTTTCCCTTTTTTTTGTTTTCTCTCAAGAACTTCTTCTGTGTGGATCCAGAGGGACTATTAGTGTGCTATTCTAACAGATACAAGTAAGATTTGTGTAAGCTAAACAAAAGTTTGCAGGTTACTTCCTGATTGATTTCTGAACAACAAGATTATGCTAATCTAAACTGTATTATGCAATCCAATCTTGCAGGAAAACCTTTTTCAAGTGCATAAAGTCAATAGCTCATATCTCATCATTTTTATTTGAATGTTTATTTTGTATATCAGGTGTATGTATTTAATCTGACACTAAGCAATGTGATTGTTGTGCTTTGTAGACTAAAAAATGACAGACCAGCAGGGAACCCCAGACCAGCTGCCTGCAGAAAAGGGTCAAGGAGGGGCTGGAGCAACATATAAGGTACCAGATTTAACAAGAGGGACTTTTCTGTTAAACAAGCTCAAAAAGACCACGGGCTTATGGACTGCATCATTCAACTGCTCCACCTGTCCCTGTTTTGCAGCTGGTGGTTTTTGAGTATGAGAACTTTCGTGGAAAAAAGGTGGAGCTGTCTGGTGAATGTAAAGATGTGCTGGAGAAGACACAAAGGGTTGGTTCAGTCATTGTGGAGTCGGGACCGTGAGTGACTCAGTTACCCTTCCTTCATTTTCACTGCATGTAGATCCTATTTTGTAGCTGTTGCCTTTGCTTTCAACAAATGTGTGCATTTATATGTCTTGCTTATTTTCCATGTTGTCAGATGGGTAGGGTTTGAGCGTCCAAGTTTTGCTGGAGAGCTGTTTGTGCTGGAGAAGGGAGAGTATCCTCGTTGGAGCACCTGGACCAACTGCCAGAGTAGCTACAGCCTGAGCTCCTTTAGGCCTCTGAAAGTGGTATGTACTTGAAATGAAATGAACCTCAGACATTTTGTGATTTTGCAAGGGTTGATGTTAAACATGTGGAAATATACTGTTTTCTGCAGGACAGTGCAGATCACAAGTTACATCTGTTTGAGAATGCTGGCTTTGAAGGCAGAAAAATGGAGATTGTTGATGATGATGTCCCCAGTCTGTGGGCTCATGGTTTCCAAGACCGTGTGGCCAGTGCTAAGGCTGTCAATGGAACGTAAGTTTCACCATTCTCAGTCTCTCACTACAATGATTTCCACTTATCAGAACTGAAGCCATGAAATGTAAGATAGAAGTGCATTTGTGCAAAATGATACTAAATTTGTGTAAAAATCACTGTCCCAGAAATGTGATACTGTTTCTCTTCCTCGTGAAGGTGGGTAGGATACATGTATCCAGGTTACAGAGGGCGCCAGTATGTGTTTGAGCAAGGAGACTTCAAGCACTGGAATGATTGGGGAGCCACTGCACCTCAGATCCAGTCCGTCCGACGTGTGCGGGACATGCAGTGGCATAAGAGAGGGTGCTATATTGCCCCTGCCCCCGCCCCTGCCCCAGCTCCTGGTCCAGCCCCAGCTCCAGCCCCTGGCCCTACACCACCCAATCCCAATCCTAACCCTACTCCCAACCCCAAATCCCAAACTCAGCCCGAAGCTTAAACTCCCACCTCTGACACCTTCCACAGAAACTGGTGAATGCTGAAGGCAGCTGGCCAGTCCTTAGTCTCTCATTATTAAAGCTCTTTATTGGTTTAGGCTTTTGGAAAACTGGAACTGAAAAAATTAACCATGCATCTCTGTTGGAAATAAAAGTTTTGGCCCTGATTCTGGTTATTTGTAAATTATTCCATGCCATTTATTTTGCATAAATTAATACATGGGATTGGAGTGAGAGTGTTAAAACGATCTGTGCATTAGACAAACAACTTATAAGTATATTGAAATTAAGTAAACAATAATTCAGACCAGAAAGAAATAATTATCAACTATTAGTAATTGGCATTAGAAGGGTGCGTGATGTGAAAAAAAAAAAGCTTTGTTTTTTTTGTGACACTAGAAATCCTTGCTACACCACCAATGATAACCTGATATTCTTTTTCAATTATTTAGTCACTGTCGACCTGATGTTTGGTTCTTCTTAGTCTTTGAATCTAGTCAGGCCCCGTTTCTTTTTAACTCTGGGGCATATTGTAATTAATGCTCGTAAAATTTTTGCTATTTTTATACTTTTTTTTTTTTTTTTACTATTAGGCACTTGTTAGATTGTAAACTAACTGTGATATTCAGCCACTGTTTTGTTGATAAAAACACGATCATCCCCCTCTTCAGAACCTTTCCCAGCGTTCCTTGGTGTGCTCAACTCTCATTGGTTAACAACTGCATTTATGCCCGCCCACATAAAATGGAACATCCAATCAGAACCAAGATTCATTCAGCAGGCTCGTGAGCTGGGCGGGCAACGCGCAAAATTTGAAAGTTGACCGGAAACAGGGTGACTGTGTAGAAAATAGTGTGCTCTTAAGCACATAAATATGCCTATATAACTTAGAAAGAGTATAATAGCTACCTAAATGACTAGCTGGTGAGTAATTTCCTAACAGACCGCTTTAATTTTATTCATATGTCAAGAGTGTTTCGTCTTTAATGTTCTGTTTTATAAGCTAAGTTAGAAAGCGAACGTTACCCACCGTTAGCTTAGCGCGCTAAAGGGGGGCATGTTATTGAAACCAAGTGATAGCATTTCCTTGGTCTGTAGGTATCAATATTTCGTTAATGCCCTGGATTTAAATCTCGACTTGCTACCTGCTTTTATGCTGTGAAGAGACCATGCTGAAGTTTAAATACGTGAGTCAGGGAAACCTGAAAACACCGTCTTCCTCTGCTGACCCCATCACTAGCCGCAGCTCACGACTCAACCAGCTGTTTCAGGTAAAGTAATGGATCAGCTTAGGTGTAGTCTCGATCTCTTAAAATTCAGTTTAAATACATCCCGAATAGCAGACTCCTGTGAATTCCACTTTTCTTGTTTGTGTATTGTTTTCAGGGACGACTGAGTCTGTGTGGGGAGCAGGGAGGATGCACTTTAGGTCGGGAAGAGTTTCTGGAGGCTTTGCTGCTTCTCTACCAAGAGTGCACTTCCCCAGAACTTATGAAGATACATCATGTGGCAAACTTCGTCAATAAATGTAAGCATACATTTTAAATATGAGCAAGATTTGTTTGTTTTATTTATCAGTCATATCCGTTTTAACAAAACCTGATTATATCAACTGATGAAATTGATTAAGAGCAGTTATATCTGTGATGCACAGTTTTTAAATGCTCTTAAGCATACTACAAGGCTTATGCCTTTTTTGTAATATCTGTAAGGTGGACTTTGATAATTGTACTAAGAGTATGTTGCTGTTGGTCTAGTTAGAATAAGGTGTTTAGCTCATAGTTCGCATTCATAAAAATGTCTTAAAGGTTTTACTTCAAATTTTGAAGCCATAAAGGGTGAAAAAGTTGTTTGTGCTGTGCTGAGCTGAGCTGAGCTGTTCGTGCTTTTTGAAACAGTTTCTGAAGTTGTCTCGGAGCTGCGGGCCCTACAGCCCAGGCTTCAAGACTTTGACCTGCATGCAGTGGTGGGTCGGGGTCGTTTTGCTGAAGTCCGAGTTGTCCGGGAGAAGGCTACTGGAGGTGTTTGTGCACTTAAAGTCATGAAGAAGACAGTTTTACGCACTCAAGAAAATGTAAGTTTCGTCCTCTAAGAACTACATCGTACCAGAGAGTTTTGATATCCATGTCTGGGACACAAAAAGGAAATTTTGGTAGTTTGCTATTTATTTGTTAATAGTTTTTTTTCCAGAAGGAAAACCAGAGGTGGGAGTAATAAAATAAATGTATGCTGGTTCCATTTAAAGTTGTGTGAAAAAGAAAGTTTTAAGGATTCCACTGTAGCAGTCTTGTGCACTTAACAGTTTTGTAGCTTTACAACGTTGCTTCTGTTTGCAGAGGTTTGTGAAAATTTGTTTATGCACAGCAAATAAATGTCTGGGTTCCTCTAGACACTTCAGTCTAGTTGAGGACTGGACCATTGCAACACCTTAATTCTTTTCTTTTTTAGTCATTCGGTTGTAGATTTGTTACTTTGCTTGGTGTCATTGTTACGTTACATGACCTAGTTTGGGTGTAGCTTTAGCTTTTGGACAGATGTCCTTACTCTCAATCTTCAATACTTTGGCATACAGAGGAGTTCATAGCTACTTCCCACTGCAAGCACCCCAGGTACTGTGGGTGAAATAAAAGCCCAAATCATCAGCCTCTAGAACTCTATTTAAGGCATTTTTGTTGATATGCTGTCTTTGATGTTCACCAGTTGTGGTGCTGTGCATTATAGCCAAGCATGTCCACTTTCGTCTTGTCTGTCTGAAGGATATTGCTCTTGAAATCTTGTGGTTTGTTCAGATTCAACTTTGCAAACCTAAACTGAGCTACCATCTTCTTTTTAGAGGGGCATTTTCAAATAAGACATACTACTTCACTCTTTTTTTTTTAGTTGTGTTGTTACAAACTTTAACATGTTAACTCGAGCCTGAGATGTAGCCCTTTTGTTTTGTTTTTTGAAATTTCTTTGAATATTGGGCCATCTGACCTTTGGATTACTTTGTTGAACTTGTTTTTGCAGAGGTGGTCACATTTGCTGGTGATCAGCAGCATCTGCCTGCTACTTACCCTCTTAATTCCTACACAGTAAGGGTGTACTTCACTGAAAAAAACTTTCTTTTTCTCAAGACTGTAGCTTTTGTTTCAGGATTTCTTTGAATACGCTGTCATAGATTAGTGGAACAAATGCCCATTATTAATGTTTAATTAATGTTTATAATACCACTTGTGGTTTGCTCACTACCACAAGTAGAAACCCTATAAAACGGGTAGATTTAGAGTCCGTCTAATGGGAGTGGAAAGGTTCATGTACTTGAGATGGATTTCTGTCAGAATGAAATTCACTGAGAATAATCATGTAATAATAGCATTTATTGAAAAGTATTTATTTAATTATTTTAACACAGAGACAACTATTCACTCTCATATTCAGACCGATGAGCAATTTAGAAACACCAGTTAACCTGGATGCATGGGATAATTATTTTATCTTTTTTTTTTTTTTTTGTTATAATAGTCCTCTAATAAAATGATTTCCTCAGGAGTATTGAAGTGTATAAAGAATAAGGGGCTTGAATTTTTCACTTTCACATTTACTACACAAGTACTGTTAACTGTGTCTCAGCTACTTGGTGTTCCAAATTTGTAGTCTTAAAAAAGTCCACTGGAGAGTGCTGTAGGGCTAAGCACAACAAATGTCACTTGGATCCAATATTTCACAGCTGTGCTCTCTGGCATATGACTAATCGGACAGATCTCCGTCAGAATAGTACATGAGCTGTGACACAAAGGGAGCTGAAGAATGAACAGTTTTAATGAACAAGAAATGTCTTCTTCGTGCCACCTGTGACAGTTTTGTGTAATTTAGTCTCATCTGTCGCTTATAAAAAGAGGGAACAAGAACTGAAGCTAGACGAGAAAGGCAAGAATTCTAATCACCAGAAAAAGTAGATTTTTGCACAGTTTTATCTGAAATAAAATGCAATTACATTTAACCCACATTCAGTTTCTTAATATGGAAGTTTCTGTGTTTCAGGCACATCTGTTTATATGGCCATTATACTAATCACAGTATATATTTGTATTGCTTAAATTTCAAACAGTATAACTGCTCATTGCTCACCTTCTAACTCTTCAAAGGTGATTTTTCATGAAGAGGAGCGGAGGATCTTGGCTCTGAACAGTAGTCCCTGGATCCCACAGCTGCTGTATGCCTTCCAGGATAAAGATGATGTTTACCTGGTGAGACTGCGGCACATGTTTCTTTTTTCTTTTTTTTTCTTTTTTATCTTAATGATGAATTGAAATGACTAGTTTGCTAATTTTTTCTGAATCAAAAGAATATTTTAAGGATCTTTTGTAACACACAGAGAAAATGGCACACACACAACATACTGTACTTACTAATACAATATTTGTGCTATATTTGATGTATAAAGCAAAGGCCTTGTATTTTGTAGTGTAGGCCTCGATGTAGTGTTAGTCCCAGTGTTACAAAATAGTACTGACCGTATAGTGACTGGTCATAGTAGATAGCTGCCCTTCCCTAAGCCTGGTTCTGCCTGAGGTGTCTTCCTGTTAAAACTGAGTTTTTCCTTTCTACTGTTCCATAGTGTTTGCTCAGAGGGGGTTGTTTGACTGTTGGGGGGGTTTCTGTATATATATAGTAGGATCTTTACCTTGCAATATAAAGGCCCTTGAGGCAACTCCTGTTGTGATTTGGTGCTATGAAACAAAAAATTGAGTTGGTATGACATATTAGCTTTCACTCAAAGTATCATAAGCACATTGTGTATTCCCCCAAACTCTAAAATTATACTGTGGGGAAAATGGCTAGACTTAGAAGTAAAACAAACACCCACACTATACATGAACCCTAGAAATACAATCATCAAAATTTGCCCATTGTTATCTGCTTTCTATCTTTGATTTTCAAAATTTGACCAACAAAACTGGCAGTCACTCAAAGTGGCATGTGAAGGAGGAATTATAAAATGACCAATCTGTTTGTACAAGAAAAATATTTTGTAGCAGGGGAAAAAAGGTTTCATCCTTAAGTCTTTATTTTTGCCATCAGTACGTTCCACAGTGACCAGGATTTTTTCATGATAAATCACATCATTCATTACTGACTACTCCTGTGGCTTTTTAGATGCTGTGCTTGGTTTTAGTTTTTCTTG